TTTCTTTTTTTCTACCATTTTCTTTATTAACTTGAATATCCAGCATTATCCTTATTAGGATAACCGTGAAAGTAAAATTGACCTTTTTTCGTTATTGAGTAGGTTTTCTAGACTACCACTATATTATATATATGAGTTGTGTTCACCATATTTTGTTTAAGATGATGAAGGACTGGTAGTCGAATTTTCCCACAATTATATGAATAGAGCTGACGCTTACATTGAATTTCTCATAGCCTTTCTCTCCCTAGTAATTAATGAAAAAAGTGATGTCGTTGATTGCTATAGCAAATATAAGTTTGCTTCGTCGACAATCCCAGCACAGAATATGATATGAAAATTGCCTGACCTTCCTCGAAATTGATATCTACCCTGTTACCCAAGGGCACTCGTGGCAATGTGGTGTAGTGGTTAACCTGTCGAGATTACACGGTGCATTGTCATGGTTTGACTTTCGCTGGGGGTGTTGATAAGACCTAAGCGAGGCCGAAACTGCGGTTCACCCTGGATGAGAACACCTGGACTAACAAGACTATGTGAGATTCAATGGAAATGTCAGCTCTACTCTTAACATTGTGGGAAAGTTCGACTACCAGTCCTTCATCACCTTAAAAGAACTAGGATGAACACAACTCATGAAATGCTGTCACAAGGCGCAAGTGCATATCAGCTATATTTATGAGCTAACTATCACTTTTTTCTTATAAATACGTGAGCAAGATTATGGGATGCATTCTCATCAATTTATTATAGCATTTGAATGATAATCCCTGCTAATTTTTTGGGCAATAGTAGAATATGATCGCGAAGAGGCTGGAACCTGGAAGAGTATTCTTTTAATCCAGCTTTTTCCATATCCAAATCCTGTCAACTATTGCTTACCTTGGGAAGGCACCTTGAAATTATTTTGCTACATTGCGACCTCTGACATAGTATGCATCATTTTCAGTATTGGATCGTTGATTTGGTACCCTCAGATTTTTCACCAGCATTGACAGAGGTAGGCGCCATCGCTGGCACAGAGCTTCAACTTATCCCTGACAAGTGAAGGCGATCCCCTTGACCAATTTAAACTGTTATGGCGTCACTCACCCCTATTTTTTATCCTACCTTTGATGCTGCATCTTTTTCTCAACCCACTAGGCTATATGAGGTAAGATAAAGAGCTGTAGCACTAAGTAGGATAAATAATAGAGCTAGGAGTGATGCTATAACGATTTAACTGAAAATTGGTCAAGAGGATTGTCTTCACTTGTCACTGATGAGTTATAATTCTGTGCTAACAATGGCTCTTCTGGGTGTTGGTCTAATGTTGATCCTAAATCCTGTACAGCCCCTATATATTGGTGCACATCATTACTACTTCTAAACTTATGAGAAAATCTTCGTGTTATATTATTTGTTTATCTACTAACTTAGGTCAAGAATTCTTATCTAAAAATGCTAAAATCCTACTTTAATTTACCATGAATAAACCGTGTTGTTTTATATATCACAACCCTTATTCTCAACAATGATCCTAAGTGGGATTCCTTTGTGAATTTTGGACAGACCTTCTGTATTAAGAGGCCTAGCATCGCGTCTAAGAAGTGCATTTATTCTATACTTATTTAATTATCCATTACCAACGCACCGCTTTAGGTAGCGCTAGTGCTTCTTTACGTTCATTTATTATAATTATAGATATATCAAACTCAGTTTAATCTTTCATCGTTTTCCATATGATCTACCCTTTCCATAATTACAGTTGCTTCTCCATTGTCTGATTTCAAAATTATTTGTTCGGGTTGTCTAAGCCTCTTAGTGATGCTATTAGTTCACCTATTCTTATTTGGTACTTCTACATGGTTATCAATTTAGAGGAACAACTTGTAGTTCAATCCAATTTATAGTTTCTTCTGCTAATCGATTAGTAAATTTAATGAGCTCCATAATTTCTTCAGTAAAACTTACTATTTGGCAAGGCATAATTAAGACTTCTAGATATAACTTTCTCAGTAATAATGTTAATTGGTGCTTTGCACGAGTTTTTTACCTTCTGACATATCCTAATTTCCTCTTATGTGGATGGTTTCAACCTATTCTTCAAAGGACTAATTCTAATTCCAAAATTCTTAAGTTTATTATCTTACGATACACCACGTCATCAGCCATCGATTGTAGCTTCAGGAAATCCAATGAATTAAATAAAGTATGTTTTTTTTTCTAATCATCTAATATGATCTATAAATGTTTTGTTAGAGACCAAATCAATCCTACTTATAATTGGCAAATTAGGTCTATCAATATTACAAAATTTAGGATTAATACAATGCTAATAAATTGCTATTTAAACTCAAATGTGGTTAACTTGCTTGGCTATTCTTTTCTTGGTATTTGTGTAAAGTGATGAATTTCGAAACATTGGTCTCCATAATCACTTTTGAGATATGAAGAGAAGCCAGGTTTTCGAGAATTCCTCAGTAGATTTATGCCAGCATACTTTCATTTTATTTAAAAAGGCTTTTGACTTGGTACATTACCAGACATTTACTCTGCATCTTCATGGATATTTGCCATACTTATCACTTAGCTAAAACTTGTGAATGTCACAAATTAAGCCTGTACTTTAACAAACTTGCTAATGAGTGTCCTGGTGTATTTACCCATCCCATATAACTGTATCCTCGTAACTCATTTCCACAAAAGGAGTACAACTCCATGAGATAGGTAAATTTTCTAGGATAGGAGTAGTACTACCACCATTCAGTATGATGTTGACCAGTGAATGAATTTCACTTGTCTCCGGCCAATTTTAAGTCTATACTAAGGCTGGAAGGCTTACTGAAATTGCCATTGTTAGAAATGCACCAAGTTAGTGGTCTCATGTTGGAACTAAGCATGATTACTATGAAAGGGGGCGAAATACAAGGTAATTTCTCCGAGTTCTTTAACCTAGTTAAAAAACAGGACCAGGTCAGTTATATAAAACAAAGGAGACTGCTACCAAAATCAGGGCTAAACTATCTTGTTTTCTTTATTCAAAAAGATTGTTTTTCTCAGCCAAACTAATTGGTCATTTTTCGTTAATTTACTTTTACATTTACATGTAATGTAAAGTTGGCATCTGAAGTCCGCAAGCTTGCATTTATTCGATTAGCACATAAAATCTAGATCCATTAACAATGAAAAGCAGAGTCCTTTTTTATTTGTGCTTTATTTAAGATATTTTTATCCAAGCCATCTCTTTTATTTTAGACTCAATTGGGAGACGAGTCTAGCTAACAATCCTAGAGTGGTGGTTACTCCAGTTTCCGATCCTTCGGGCTCTTCTGTTTTATATATCGCCCTATCACCTTCGGTCCAAAAAATTCCGGAAACCTCTGTCTGCTCTCCTTCCTCTACAGTTGGCTGCGTTAACAGCCTATCTTATAGCCCTTCTGATCCCTTAAATATGTTCTACATGTCGTCTATGCATCAACGACCTTCTTTGGCTTCCTTCACGGTTGCCCCAAGTCACGTTCAGCAACAGTTATCTCCGAATAACCCTGCAACTCAGGGTGTCTCGAACCATCTACAAAGCATTGACCCTCACAAGTCAAATGATGAAGAAACCATCGATAACTCATTTCCTAGCCGTGAAAATCTTTCTCGACGACTCATGGAGCGTGTACGCTCACGGTCGCGTTCCCGGGATCACTATCATAGCCCTATCGAAGAAGAAGCGTCAGCTGTCTCTATGCTAAAAAAAGAGGACTCTACCTCGGCTCATCTAAACCCCGTAAGTTTAATTCCTTCATTATATAAAAGCAGGGATCATAATGATCATGGCAATTGATGACAAACTTTGGTTGCTTGGTCAGGGACGAAATTCCCTTC